CACCAGCTGGTTTCCATGCTCATCCCAGTAAGCCAGAGGCAGCATCCCGGTGTCTGTGTGGCAGCATCCTTGCTGAAAGGGTGGGTTTTTGCTTTGCTTTCACAGTTCTTCCGCACAGGAGGAGGAGCAGGAGGAGGAGCAGGACATGATGGAGCAGAGCTGCTCTGAGATGACTCTGCTCAAAAGATGTAGGATGCAGGAGGGAGACACATGTGGTGTGCGAGGGTTGGTTGGGTTTGCACTGCGGGATACCAGGCAGGGAGAAGGGATTCATCAGTACGAATCTGTCCCATCCCGTCCAACTCTGCCTCCATCCCGGTCAGCAGCAGCCGGGTGGGAGCCGGAAGAGCTCGCTTGGGCGCTGGGTTTTGGTGCTGAGGGTGGTGGTGCTGCTGGAGCTCTGCGGCACAGCACCTGTGGCTGCATCTTGGAGGTTTCGGTGTGAGCAGAGGCTGGGAGATGGATGGGACCATGCAGAAAACTCTGGAAGCTGTTTGCTCCACAGACATCAAAGCTCATCGAGCTCGGCTGTGCCAGAGCCTGGGGTCAGGGAGGCTGCAGCAGGGGCCCTGTCCAAGCGCTGCTGCCGATGTCATGGACACCAGTGGGGGTCAAGTCAGCCCCAAATTCCCTATAAATAAGTGTTGGACAGGGCCTTGGGTGACATGTTCTGGTGGGAGGTGTCCCTGCCCATGGCCGGGGGTTGGAACAGGGTGATCTTAAGGTCCTTTCCAACACAAACCATTCTGTGATTCCATGAAAGAAAAGTGTGTTTTGGCTGAAGCACAGCATGTGCCTTTGCCAATGTCTGTTGAGCTCATGCTGGTTGGTCCCCCCTCGCTCCAGCCTCGCTGGGAGCAGCTCCCTGACATGAGTGCACGGCACATTTGCAAAGGGAGAAGATGGGAGCACTCGGGAGGTGTAAAGGCTGAGCTGGTGCTAAAGCTTTCCCATTCCTCCTTGGCTCAGCAGGGACGGGGCCGGGGACACGCTGGGTCTCATCTTCTGCCTGCTTTGAGCAAAGGGCCCGTGGGCTGAGCTGCCTGCAGCGTGCGGAGGCAGCCCAAAACCCTCAGCCTATAATTTCCTACCTCCAGCTCTTCTCTTTTTAGAGTAAAATGATATCTTGTGCTTTTCCAGCCCTGGGGCTGCCCCCTCCAGTCTGGACAGCTTCCTCCTCCGAGCCCCGTGCTTCTGCGTGGCTGCTGGTGAGCATCGCCCTTGCACAGTGCCACACAGCCCCGGCGCGGTGCTCAGCACCCTGATGCCAGCTCCTGGGGTGGCTCCAGGGCTTCCCAATGTGCTGTTAATGTTTTCCCTCAAGCCAGGTTAGCAGATAAATGGAGAAGGGTGTCCTGTTGCTGACCCCCTGCTGCTAACGGGTGATGCTCGTGGCAGAGCAGTACCAAAGGGCTGGTACTTGCAGAGCGCTGTGACCCAGGGAGGCCTCATCCTGACCGAGTGCTGATACTCGGATCCATCGGGTTGCAGCACTGATGCAGAAGTGTCCCCCATGTCCCTGGTGATGTGTTGCAGTGATGGTGATGGGTTGCACCACCCACTGCTGTATGGAGATGCCATGGGAGATGCTGGCATGGTGAGATGGGTGTTTTGGGAGGACGATGATGCCTCCTGATGTCCAGGTTGGGATCAAGCCAGCCCCAGTTTAAGGGACCAGCCTTCAGGCAGCCAAAATTGGCCCATTTGGAGTTTTTGCTTATTTTGCCATGATTTGAAAAGTATTTTCTGAGAAATGAGATGTTTATTCTCCCAGCCGTTGCCTTTTCCTGTTGCACGTGCATGGACTCTGCTCCCTGGGGACCACCATGCGAACGGGCTTCGCTTCTCTTTATTTGAGGTCATCACTGATGTCACCTCAGCTGGGGAATGAGCATTTTGCATCAGTGTTTTTCTGGAGCTGGGTTGATGCTGAAGCTCCGGGATGAAACAGGGGTGTTGTGGGGGTGTTTTTTCTGCCTCCCGTTCTTATTTCCCTTCAGAGACAACTCAGGGAAGTTTGCTGAGCAGGGATGTTTGTTGCTCGAATGCAGTGGAGCCGCCTGCAACAACATAGCTGGGGCAGGGTGAGGTTGTGGGGGAAAAGGAAATGAAAACCTTTTCAGCCCAAAAAAGTTCACACAATGGCAAAAACCCAAAGCAAACCCAAGCTAAATATAGCGGGGCCTGTGAGTTTGCCTTGACTCCTGGTGAATGCTTGTGCTGGAGCCACAAATGGGTCGCTTTTAAAACAGAGAGTACCCAACAGAAGTTGTCTTGTTGATGTGCTGCTTTGGGCAGCTTTGTGCTGGGCTGATGAGTCAAGAAGCGGCTGCTCAGGGTCCCAGGGGTGGCTTTTTAGCTTAGAAATATGTGTTTGGAAGAATAAAGTATCTTCTAAAGGTGACACGTCAGCTGGAGCGATGGGTCCCACTGTAACATCCCGGGTTTACTGCTTTATCCAGGTCTGGAGATGGATTCACGCACTGGGGTGATGCTGGGGCTCAGATTGCGGTGGGGATGCAGGGTTGGACCGTGGGACATGCGTGGAGCTGGGGTTGGGATCAGGCTCTCTCCCCTCCGCAGCTGCACCAGTGCTTTGTCTGCTGGCAGGGATTTCCTTGCTCTGCTCCCGCCTCCCAGCGCCTGGGCTGGGATTTCAGAGGGTCCTGACGCGACGTTCCGTATTTGCTGGGGCTGTGCCCATGGGAGCTGTGGCTGCGTGCAGGCGTTTTCCATCACGCCCTGTTCACACGATGGGAGATTTACCCCGGAGTTCGTTCTTTTTTAACAGGTCCCCAAATACACATAAAAATGACGGATGCGCTCGCTATTCCCTGCTCTTTTCCTCCATCCGGAGCAGATGGC